GAAACAACTGTTCTAAGATCTATTCTGCTTTGAATGTCCTTACACTTTTACTATTGAGTGCTACCTTCCTATTAAATGTATCTAATTTAATAGTAACAATGATCTGAGACATTTTGATGAATGTACAATGGTTTCATGTTTGGCATACATTATAAACATTCATCTAGTTATATTTATACCCACTTTTTTGGTAGAGAAAAATGGTGTTTTCTTCTCTGTCTTCTTTTTTTTTTTTCATTCAAAAACATTTACTGGGAACTTAGCAGTAAAACTAATTTTGGTGTTCAAGGTAAACAGGTAAGTTTCTTTTCTCCTTCTTCTTCTTCTTCTTCTTCTTCTTCTTCTTCTCCTCCTTCTTCACTGAACAGCTAAGTTTCTATCTCTATCATAAACAGCTCAAGTTTTGTGAGGGAGGCAGACATGTGAACACAAAATGACAATGTGGTGAAAATAAATACTATTCTCTGTTTTCCTATCTCTCTGTCTCTGTTGATACAAAACCAATAGCAACACGGGTGGGGGTTGTTGAGGAAGTCTCCAATTCTGCCTCAAGAGTCTGAGGTACAGGGTAAGGATCAGAGAAGGTATCTTAGAGAAAAAAAATATTTTAATTGAGACTCAAGTGACAAATTATTTTTTATTAGCCAGATAAAAGAAGGGCATCCACGGCAGCAGGAGCAACAACTACAAAGATATAAGATATGAAAAGGTCTGCAAGACATTTAGTGTGGCTGGATAGTGGTTTGCATGTAAAGTTATCATGGGAAAATGGGGATGAAGAAGTAATAATAATACAATTAATTTCACACTTACTCTACGTCAGTTAGATTGATGAGAACTTCACATAACAATCTGCATTATTCCTGGCAACAATCCACGACTGTTATTCTGTTTTTTTTTTAATTTTTTTTAATGTTTATTTTTGAGAGAGAGACACACACAGAGCAGGCACGGGGAAGGGACAGAGAGAGAGGGAGAATCCGAAGTAGGTTCCAGGCTCTGAGCTGTCAGCACAGAGCCCGACGTGGGGCTCGAACTTGCAAACCATGAGATAATGACCTGAGCTGAAGTCAGTTGCTTAACTGACTGAGCCACACAGGCGCCCTGCATGACTGTTATTCTTATTTTGGGAATAAGAACACTAGGGTTTGGGGAATATAAACTTTAGCTTAAGCTAGTAAATGGCAGGCCAGCTCTTGAATCAGGTCAGTCTGATACTAAAGCCATTGCACTTTACCACTATGGAATAGTACTTTCCTAACGTAAAAATGCAGGATGGAAAGGGATGTTTATGCTCTGCTAAGAACTTTGGATTTTATTCATCTTGATATGAAGGGCAATGGAAAGGTTCTAGAACTGTTAAAAAAAATCACCCTTTTGGGGCACCTGGGTTGCTCAGTCAGTTAATCGTCCAACTTTGGCTCAGGTCATGATCTCATGGTTTGTGACTTCGAGCCCCACGTTGGGGTCTGTGCTGACAGCTTGGAGCCTGGAGCCTGGAGCCTGCTTCAGATTCTGTGTCTCCCTCTCTCTCTGCCCCTCCCCCACTCACACTCTGTCTGTCTCTCCTTCAAAAATAAACATTAAAAAAAAATCACACTTTTAAAATGGGATTATGGACATTCTGGAGGCTGTAGTAACCAAGCAGGAACACTTTTCATTTATAATGAGGTAAAATTAAAGCCTGAACCAGGGGACAGAGACAGAGGATGGATTCCATGAAGAGTTGGAAGATAAACAGGAAAATATTTGATGATTAATACATCAAATGAAGGAGGAAAAGATGAGAGTAATTCCCAGTTTGGGGATATGGATAACGTGTGCTATGATTCTGGCAGAGACATGAGTTTGAATCAGAAGTGTTATTAAGGCTAATTTTAAGAGTAAGGAGTTTGTGACTGTCATAGACACCCAAGTGATGAAGACAAGTCACTTGAAATGAAAGCTCAGTAGGTCTCCAGAGAGGCTGGATTAGGAATCCTTTGATTTGAACACCATTAAAGTGAATCATCATACTTTCAAGGGAATGAGTAGTGGTAGAGGGATCTGCCAGAGTGATGGGGAGAGGACCAGAAGAGAGAGGACTGTTGTGGAAGACATGATCATATGAGCTGTGGAGAGAATGGGAGGGTAGTGGTTAAGGACAGGGAGGTTGGGTCTTTTCTTCAAAGAGATCAGCCAGACAGGAGGGGAACACAAGGGAACACAGCACATATTTTTGTAAGTTGAGTACAAAGGACTGGTAGGGGGTGGTTAAGACGGAGGGATGAAGAGGGCTAATGATAGAGACCCTGCAAACCACCGGAAGGGAAATATGGGCAAGAAAGACATCACTTCCTCTGAGTCAAGTGAGATGGAGGTGAGTTGGCTGAGAAGCAGGTTAATTTGAAAGCAAGCAAGCACTGGGGAAAACTTTGCTCACATGTAGTTCCAAGTTGAGTTATAATTTTAATGAGTCATGTGAGATCTCATGTAGGTGATGATAATAAATAATTGACTCAAAAGTGGAATTTTCCCTGTCCTTACTGGGAAGTTATGTGAATCAACAGGTCAAATGGTCATCATCTCCGGGGAAAATCTGAGACCATGAGAAAATCATGTAGTATTCCTCTCACTTTCTGCTCCTTTAACATTCTTCTGTAGGTACAAAAAACAAAAACAAAAACAAAAACAAAAAACAAAACCCAGAAGGTTAAAATGAATATGGTAAGGAATCCCTGAAGAGAAAAATGAGATCCATAAAGAGGTTGAAATAGGCTATCAGTGCTTTACATTTATAAAATGCCTGGTAGCTTTTATTTCCCATGTTCCCTACTGGCCCCACTCCTGCACTCTTCCTGGCATGCTGCCCTCACCACCTCCTCCTCACCGAAGCTCCTTACTACAAGGCTCATCGACCCTCTTTCCTCTCTAATACCAGGAGCACTTTTGCTTTTTTCCATCACCATCTATTGTACATTAGTTGCGCATTTTTTTTGTCCCATTTGATGTGATGTATCTATAGTACAGGGAATGTCTCCTTTTTCTTTTATCCTCCATGATCCCTTGCCATTAGCAAACACTGAAGACTTATTTACTAAATTAATATTATTTTCTTTTAACACATGACAAAACAAGGCTAGCTGAGATGAAATAACAGAGGTTGTAGGTGTAGAATTTGTTCAGAGGTAAGCTCTTCCAGTTCCCAGCCCTCTGTTGTTTCCCTAATTCTTTGCCTCTCTAGAACCATTAAGCAAGTGCTAGGGAGCATGTAAGGGAAGAGAGTGAATGCGTGCATTAATACAGAAGCCCAGATGACCCAGGCAAACACCAGCTGAGTCACTTTTTACTCTCCCAGAAGCAAGTTGTTATGTCATTTATCATTGTCACAGCCTATCTTGCCTTGTACTCTACGATGTGAGGGTCACACACAACGTGCCGAACTAGAACTCTGGTTGTTCTTGTATCTCTGATGGTGAAGAAATACATACAGATTTCTAGTGCCCTTGCCAGAGTGATACTTTACCATATTATCTCAGCTATCCCATTTAAAACAAACTACTTCATATACAGTCTTACTCTGAGTAGGTATAGGACTATCATCCATGCTGTACCTGTCGCACATTGACATATTTTATTTTTTTTAAGTTTATTTATTTTGAAAGAGAGAGAGAGAGAGCACGCATGAGCAGAGAAGTGGCAGAAAGAGGGGGAGAAAGAGTCCTAAGCCGGCTTGAAGCTGTCAGCACAGAACCCGATGCGGGACTTGAACTCAAGAACCATGAGATCATGACCTGAGCCAAAGTCGGATGCTTAACCGACGGAGCCACCCAGGGGCCCCACATTGACAGATTTTAAAAGTTATTTTGTATATACATCTTATTATAAATTAGTAAAGAAAGATCAAATAAAATGCATTGGGAAGTGAAAGAAGTTATAATGTATAATTACTACCAGGCGGGCACCAGACAGTACTATCTTCTTATCCTCCTTCTCCCTTAATTTCCTCTATACCCAACCTTAGCTTCTTTTTCCTCATTTGAAACTGGGTTGTTCTTAACTGCCAGAACCCTCCTTTCAAGTTCTTAGCTGAGAATAATTTAAAGTAGCACACTTACCAAGAATATTTGTAGTGTAACAGCACAGGACTCTCTATTGACAGCAGATTGCATTTACTGAGTTAAGTGGTGAGGGAAACACTTTTTTGCAGCTATTCTGCATGATATTTAGAAAAATTACATCAGGATCGCAATAACCTATTGTATCTAAAAATGAAGCCCACCCTGGATATGTAGTATATGACTCATAAAAAAAAAGACGTTGTCATATAAGAATTTGTGTAGCATAGTGTTGAGATTTTACTTGGTTCACACATGCCTCTTTAGTGGTTCCCTTTTCCTCTGTATCAAACCTACAAGACATGGTATTTGTCTCACTTCATGAAAATGTAAAAAATACCCAGTAGCATCCCTCTTTGTTTGATAGAGATAAAGCTGAAGTTGAAAGAAAAAAAAATATCATTTTTGCAATGAATATTTTCCTGGCAGTAACTTGTTCTTTCAGTGCCCTTTATTTTTATAATTCTAACTTTAGTAGCTTTGATAGTGGCTATCTTTTCCATTGCATGCTGTTTAAAATTTTGTTAGTGGAGTCTGTCTCTAGTATTACAGATCTTATCTACAAAGGCCACTAAGACAAGAGGACATAGAAAACTGATGTGGGGACTACCAAATGTGCTCTTTATTCCCTTGACTTCTTTATTCTTTCCTTCCAATGATCTATAACACAGGCACTGGGTGAGTCCTTATGACTTGCCTGTGAGAAAACAAGAACACTGACAGAAAATGCATCACAATTGTCCAATGGGATGATATATCTTGCCTAAGACACATAAAAACTTCATAGGCCGTAAGCCTACAGTGAACAAACTGCCAAGGAGTTCACAACCACTGCAAAGATGTGTCAATGCTTGGAACAACCAAGTTACATTTATTTTGTGCCAAACAAAGCAGAAAATGACTCTATAGTCGAGTTACTTCCTCTTTTGAGAAACCAAAAAGACAATAAACGTAGTTGAAAACAGAGAGACAGAATGCCGTCAAACTCGCAATAGGCCCAGTGAAGGGACAATATCTCTGGATTATGAGTTGTGGTTCCTCAGGAGGGATGGTTGGCTTAGAAAGAAGCCCCTGGATGAATTCCTGTAACTTGGTAGCTTTGAGGAAAAATCTCCACTTTCCTTCATGGGCAAAAGTTAGCTTGATCCATGTACTAAAGTTTGGATAAATATAAATATTTGACTTTGGTTTTCTAAGGCTTCTTAATGCATTTTGGTCGTTACTTTTTTTCGGAGTTTTAGTTTTTTGGAGGAAATTGTTTTCTTCTCAAAATGATCAGTGGGCTCAGGACAACTGGGCACTTTTTCTGGTTCTGCTGAAGAGATTCTATCGTGTGTAGAAGCCAATGTGTTCTTCAAAGTTTCTGGTTGTGAGTTTGTGAAGTTGTTCTACGATCTCTTTACCCAGAAGTTCTCCTTCCAGAACTTCTAAACAATGTATGCTGGAGCAACAATTCTGGCTTTCCAGTTCTGTTACCTTCTTCTTCTTTTTTTTTTTTTTTTTAAATTTTTTTTTTCAACGTTTTTATTTATTTATGGGACAGACAGAGACAGAGCATGAACGGGGGAGGGGCAGAGAGAGAGGGAGACACAGAATCAGAAACAGGCTCCAGGCTCCGAGCCATCAGCCCAGAGCCTGACGCGGGGCTCGAACTCACGGACCGTGAGATCGTGACCTGGCTGAAGTCGGACGCTTAACCGACTGCGCCACCCAGGCGCCCCTGTTACCTTCTTCTTTAAAGCATCAATGTGTTTCTTCGTAGAGAAGATATCTTTAGTTACTGTACATTGTTTGTCTTCATTAACATTCATTCTGGTTTCCAGTATCTCCATCTGCTTCTGATAAAAGTCAGTATTTTCCTGCATTTTGGATACCACACTGAGAATGTCAGTCATTTGACTGAGGAGTTCAATTTGGGCAGTTTTAATATCTTGGAGCATTACTGTAAGATTCATTTCTTCATCAGTACTCATGTCATCTTGATCACAATCATAGGAAGTCATAGTTGGATGTCTAGTTGAATCTGGGTTGTTCTTACATTTATGGTAAACATTTTTTAAGAGCTTGTCGGATCTTGGAGAGATTTGAAGTCCACATCTGCCCAGCAGCAGCTTTTACCCTTTTGGTTTAAAGTTTGTACATCTTTGGGGCGCCTGGGTGGCGCAGTCGGTTAAGCGGCCGACTTCAGCCAGGTCACGATCTCGCGGTCCGTGAGTTCGAGCCCCGCGTCGGGCTCTGGGCTAATGGCTCGGAGCCTGGAGCCTGTTTCCGATTCTGTGTCTCCCTCTCTCTCTGCCCCTCCCCCGTTCATGCTCTGTCTCTCTCTGTCCCAAAAAAATAAATAAACGTTAAAAAAAAAAAATTTAAAGTTTGTACATCTTTAATAATAAAACCAGAGTAGGAAACCTGACCACAGTCAAAAGAAGCAGTATCAGAATGAAATGGCCTTTTTCTTACTATTTGTTGGATGTCCAACTATTTGTTGTACTATTTGTTTCCTCGTAACATCATAGAAAGCCCTATGGAGAACAGCAGGGGCAATAGTAGGCACTCTTAGGTTGTTAGCTTCTTATGGGGCTATCCAACTGGAGAGCTCTGTGAAGTAATGGTCAACTGCATGGAATCTTTCATTTGGTAATCATTGACCTGGTGCTGATGTCACAATGGTTACTGGCTTAGAATACATTTAACCATAGGGCAGTGATTCTCAAAAGTTTTGGTCACAGGACACTTTTCACTTGCAAGAATTGAGGAATGCCTTTTTTTATGTAGCTTATGTCAAATGATATTCCATCTTAGAAATTAAAACTAAGGAAGACTTAAGATGTCAACTTATTAAAATAAAAAAGCAGTTAAACTCATTAAATCTTAAAACAAATGACACATTTTAATGAAAAATAATTATATTTTCCAAAAGAAAAGAAGTGGATGTCATTGTTTACATATTTGCAAATGTTTTAAATTCCTGGGTTAATGGAAGACACCTAGATTCTCATAACTGCTTCTGCATTATTTCTGCTGTGATATATTGTTTTGGTTGAAGGATATGAAGAAAATATGTCCTCACAGAGATATGTAAGTAGAAAAGAGAAAGTATTTTTTTTAAAGATTTATTCATTTTTGAGAGACCAAGAGCGAGCGGGGAAGGAGCAGAGAGAGAGGGAGACACAGAATCCAAAGCAGGCTCCATGCTCCTAGCTGTCAGCACAGAGCCCGATGTGGGGTTAGAACTCAGTGACCATGAGATCATGACCTGAGCTGAAGTCGGATGCTTAACCGACTAAGCCACCCAGGTGCCCCAAAGAGAAAGTATTTTAATAGCCTTTTCAAATAATTGAAGATTTTATTCGTTGCTACTCTGCCAAAATTTGCTATGATAGTTGTTTAGAAGTTAGTTGCCATGTGTATGGCAATACTGGTACATTAAAATTCATTGGCCTGTCTTCCATTGTGAATGTATGTGTACATTGTTATGCATTGTTATTTGGAAAATAATGACTTACTGAATTATGCAGATCTTCCAAATGGTAACTAATTTTGTTATATAATATCAAAACATCATATTCATTAATATTATCACCAATATCACCAGCAACGTCTTTAAGTATTGGGAAGAGGCCAAGCTCATAGTGGCAGTTGAGACTTTCCAAAATTCTAATACTAGCTTGAAAAGCTTGAAATTTATTAAACTTATTGATTGTTTTTCCTGAAGTCATAGGCTCCCTACATCTTCCCCTGCCTTTTTTTTTTTTGCAAAAATGCTTGCCAAATACCCAAATATGAATACTATAGTTTGCTGTCAGGTTTTCTTTCAAGTAAAAATGATGTTCCATGAAAAAAACAAACAAAAACAGCTAGTTCAGTTTGTAACTCAAATCAGTACTTTTCTTGGAGACAACTATTTTTTTAAGTTTATTTTTGATTTTGAGAGAGAGAGAGAGAGAGAGCCAGCACAAGTGGGGGAGAGAAAGAGAAAAGGAGAAACAGAATCCAAAGCAGGCACCACACCATCAGCGAAGAGCCTGATGTGGGTCTTGAACTCACAAACTGTGAGAGTATGATCTAAGCAAAGATCATGAGTCAGATACTTCACCACCTGCCCTACCCAGGCACCCCTGGAGACAGCTATTATACATTGGTAAGCAGCAGAAGTGCTTTATGTGTACTTCCCATTACATCACACCATCACACATGATACTAAAAAAATATACTGAAGGGTTGAGATTTAATATAATTAAATTTTTTACTGCTTCATCAAGGACATTCTAGAGTTACACGGACTTTTTCTTGTATTCTTTGATTGAGTAGAGGTAAAAAATACAGTCACTACTGGCACAGTTTAGGACTGCTGCTTTGGTTTGTGCTAAGGCATTGACAGTTTTACACACCATTGCTTTTGCAATGTGATTTGCAAAATGCAAATGTCAACACAATGAAAAAGGCAAAAGTGTTTTAATATTACTTTCGAAATATTTTTTCATGGTCGGTCCTATGTATGGCTCACTTTGAGAACTCCTTAGAATTTTAAAATAACATTATACCCTACTCTTTATAGATTTTCTAAATAATGGTTCTTGAAATCCAAACCTTTTGAAAGAGTAAATATTTTGTCTATTTTATATATTGAGGTAAAAACTTCATTTTATTCTTTGGTCACATAGGAATAATGTTCTGGAATTAAAATGACGTGACAACCATTTTCCTTATGGTACAGTCCCACTCTACTAAAGAGGATATTCCTTCTTGGATCAGTCTCAGTTCTAACCCTCTTAATAAATCCCTCTTTCTCCTATCTATGCCTAATTCCAAGTCCAGCTTTGACCTAGATTTTGTTGTAAACTCTGAATTCAGGCAAAAGTAATTTAGGAATTTTGGCCATCATGTGGTATCTGGGATATTGCTTTACATCTTATCTTTGAATCCCTGTTTAGTAACCTTACTAAAACTTCTAGAAACCTTTCCAAACTCTTGCTGAGGAAAAATGTTCTCCTGGAAGCAGACTGTCACAGAAATGGTATTTGGAGCCCAAAAAGGTAGGATTCAAAGCTGTCCTCTTTACCTTGGCCAAGGCTATTCTATCCATCAAGCTCTACAGACACCTTCCTTCCTTAGTGCCTATGAAGTTTTCAAAAGGCCAATGAAAATATTTGAGACTGGAAAGAAAAAAAAAAAAAAAAAAAAAAAAAAAAAAAAAAAAAAAACAACCAAAAACCTGGGCTCAGAATACTAAAAGAAAGCTTCAAGATTGAAACAAAGAATGTTTAATTAAATATCTCCAGATTATACTGTTATATCATCCTCACTGTTAAATTTAGTATTAAAATTTCATTACATTTGGAGGAAATTTGTAGATTACGTATTGTTACTTTACAATAATTCCCAATTAAATTCAGAAGGATTGCTTGTAGCAAATACTCCCTCTAGGTTAATAACAGCCAAGTCTTATTGGGTGCATACCAGACACTGTTTTATATATTAGTTTATTTAACTGAAGTTCAGAGAAATCAAGTAATTTTCCTTTCTGTTAAAAAATGGGTAACATCAAATTTTAAATCCTTACATTTTAGTTCTAGAGTCTAGAACCTCTGCCACCACATAATCATGATAAACACATGTATTTGTAACTCAGAAAGAGATGGACATTTCCTTTTTTTAGAAAAATTGCACTACATAGTTATAGAAGACATTTTGATTAAATTTTTATTTGTTTAGCAGTATGAAAACACTAAAGATTTAGTTGGTATTGTATTATCAAAGCTACTTGAAGCAGAAATTTGTAAAGGCTTTAGAAATTGAACTATCTCTTTAAAATTTTTTTTAATGTTTATTTTGGAGAGACAGAGTGGGGGAGGGGCAGAGAGAGAGGGAGACACAGAATCTGAAGCAGGCTTCAGTCTCTGAGCTGGTCAGCACAGAGCCCCACGTGGGGCTCAAACCCACGAAACGCAGGATCGTGACCTGGGCCAAAGGCAGACACTCACCTGACTGAGCCACCCAGGTGCCCCAGAAATTGAACTATCTCTAATTTAAGTAAGTAAAAAATGAACATTTACAGGTTTTTCTTGACTTATTGTAATAATAGGCTAACAATTATAATAAAGAACAATAGACTAAAATTTTCAACCAAAAATGTTTATTATACCTACTGATTATTTTTATAAAAAAAATCGTAGATTTGATACAAACAGAAATCTATTTGAGGTTCTAATTACTTACTTACTAATGTTAATGAAAGGAGCCTCCAGCCAATTGGGTCTTACTGAGCAGTGAAAAGCTATAGTGGAGAGGACATAAGCCTATTGATTTGGGTGAAGTTGTGAGAGCAGTCAGAAAGTGAATGAAAATGGGAAATGAGCTGACTCCTTTTCTCTGGGTTCCTTCCAGAGATATGGAGACATTTAGGAATAAAATAAGTCTGGTAGACTGGAGCCAAGTGGTGGACACCTACAAAGGAAAAATGTCATCCAGGGGACAGGCTTTTGCTGGAGTGGTATTTGGGACCAGAAAGGTTAGAGGTCAAGTCTGTCCTATTTACTAGACCTGTACTCTTAGTTAAGTTACCAGCCTGTCACAAGCATACGCAATGGGATAGTAACAGCACTTATTTCATAGACTGGTTTTGAGAATTAAAGTGCTCAATATTTGTAAATCCTCTTCCTCCTCCTCTCCAACCACCTCCTTTTCACTCTTCTTTTTTCAAATGACAGTAGGAAATGGTTAAGAGTTTTAAGCTTTGGCTCTGCTCTCTCTCTCAATCTCTTACTCTACCTTTCATTCGCTCATTAAATCAAGAGGCCACTCCACCATCTGTATGACCAAGCATGTGCTATTCACCATTAAGTATACCATGCAGATAAAGCATGTGGATTAGAAGGATACCAGAATGCAGCAAACTAGACCAGACAAACCAGCATTCTGTCTCCTAGTATAGCTCAGACAACCAGCTACAGTGTCAGGCTGACTGGCATTGGATAACCATTGGAGAGATGACTCTAATAATAGATGGTATTATTAATATTTAAAATTCTGGTGTTTTTGAATAAGGAAGCTATAAATTAATTATGGTAGAGTCAAGATTATCTGAGTCTATATAATATAAATATAATAGGGGCGCCTGGGTGGCGCAGTCGGTTAAGCGTCCG